TACCAACCCAAAGGCCAGTGGTTTGAATCCACCAGCAGCCCTGGGAAGTCTCCTCTCCTGCGATTGACAGCCTCTGTAAACCTGCTTACGGGTCAGCCTTGTGTCTGTTCTGACTCAGCAGCAATTGATGTTGTTGTTGTTGTTATGTGCCGTCGAGTCGCCTGCGACTCATAGCGACCCTCCCTGTACAACAGCCCTAAACTCTGCTCTGTCCTGTGCCAATCGCACTGTCTCTGACACTCCCATCCCAATTATCCCAGTCACTGAATCAGTCCACCTCATAGAGGGTCTTCCTCTCCTGCGCCGTCCCTCCACCCTCCCAAGCATGATGTCCCTCTCTAAGGACCGGTCTCTCCTCACTACATGTCCAAAGTAAGTTAGACGGAGCCTCAGAATCCTTGCCTCCAAGGAGCCACCCGGTTTAACCCTCTCCAGGACAAATCTATTTGTTTTCCTAGCAGTCCATGGTAATGCATAAAGATATTTGGGGGGAAAGTTAAGCAATGAGACATGTACAGAGTAGAGAGTGAAATTTTGAATCATGTCTTTTTAGATTTCAAATCCCATTTCACTACCAAATAGGATTCCTATCTCTTAGGTAAAGAAAGATCCAGAAGTACCCTTGCTGTGTCATGTCACATGTTTCCTAATTGTAGATTGGATGTTGGACATCGTAGTAGCAAGTATCTCAAATCTTGTCTTCTTCCTTTAGGGACTGTTGACACTTATTTTGAGTGGCAGTTAGGACATGTAGGTATCTTCTTGGTCCTGTTGAGGGTTGGTTATATATGCTCTCCTAAGTGCAGTATAACCTTTGCTGTTTCCTGTCTTAGCTCAGCTGCTAACATGAAGTCATTCCCAGGTCACTACTGACTTTTCGGAGTCTTTGACCAGGTCTCTGTACTCTGCCTGGTCAGAATGACAGTCTTCTGGGAACTCTGGGAGTTGTTCATCCTAAAACCCTGCAAGTTATTCTTTCCCTGGCCTGTTTGACCGAGCCTGGGGAACCTCTGCAGGTCCTGGTCCTTCTGCTTAGCGCCCACTTCTGTGGTATTCCTGTGTGAACTAGAGCTGATGGTCCTCCATCCCAGGAACGTGCTCTCAGCTTCCCTAAACTTTACCTTTTTGCTCCTCCCGTTAGCAAGACTGCCATACCACACTGTGTTCTCTTGCCCTTTGAGGCATTCCTGAAAGTGCCCTGTGCAGGAAACTGGGGTGGTTTCTCTTCTTACGATGCCGTTATCCAGTGTCTGAATGTGGCATGTATCATGTTCCATTTTCTTGTTATTTCTGGTGGGGGGACTAATTCAGTAGCAGTTAATCTGATAGGTGAGTGAAATTAAGCCCTATGTGCCCATCACGGGTCCCTGGGTGCTGCAAATGTTTACATTCTAAGTGAACCAGCCAAAAGACTGATAGTTCACATCCTCCCAGAGCTGCCTCAGAAAAAGGTCTGGTAATTTACTTCTAAAAGATCAGTCATGGAAACCTTGGGAAGGACAGTTTTACTTTGCAATATGTGAGGTCACGATGAGTTGGGATCAGATTGATGGCAACTGGTTTGATTTGGTATGTTTGATTAGGTATTGATCCATGCGATCAATTTTCAATCCTTTTTTCACTGGAGTATTTTTAAGGACATCTAAGCATTATTTCCATTTTATTCTGATAAATTTTCATTTAGAAAATGTCTTTTCTATATTTTATTAAGTAGTTGTGTTGTCAGCAGATAATAAAATATGAGGTGTAGAGCTTGTGGAAAGAAGCCTTTAAGGTCCTTTCTTCTCTTCTCCAAAGTTCTGGACCTTTCATACCTTTAGTTGGAGGCCCAAAAGCCCCTTGGTCCAGCGGTTCACCCACGAGTACCAGCACTCCCTAAATCAAGCTGGCACATTCCAGAATCACAGGAAGATTTGGGAATCTTGAATGGGATTTCCATCACCATCTATCTAATAATTATAATATGCCTGCTCTCATTCGTAAGAGGCTGTGGTATACTGAGGTACTGAAGAGATACAAGATGCTTGGATAAATCTTTAAAGTCATTGCAAATATAAAGTGACAAATGTCAAGAAAATGAATGGATTCAAAGTCATGAGTATTTAGAAGAATGTGCTCAGTTGTCAAGGAAAATTTGTGAATAAAGATATTGTGCTGTAAGTAGGTAGGTCATAGGGCTGCTACGAGTCCGTTCCAACTCAGTGGTACACAACAATAACAGTTACAGTCTAGAAGTTTATTATTCTCTCCCCACTTCTATAGAGTCTCAGCCACACTGTTCTTTTAATTAACATTTGAAACATGTGAAATCTGCACAGTAGACTTTGTTGGCATGAGCACCCTCTCAGTTTAATTGGACAGTGACTCTTCTGTATATCTGGTCTGGTCTCCAATATTTGACTACATATTAAGAACAGTCACCATTGTGGTTCCTTCAAGGCTCCTCTGGAATTGCTCAGGTACACTTGATTGTTACCAGTCTGATGGGAGTCACTGTGTCCTCAGAGCTTCAGTAGGTGCAGGCCAATCTCACTGTCTCTGATACACCTACCCCAATTACTCTATCAATCTAAATGAGATGTACTCCAGGGTCTTCCACTCCTGCACTGTCCCTCCAGCCTTCCAAGCACGATGTCTCACTGTCTCTGATACACCTACCCCAATTACTCTATCAATCTAAATGAGATGTACTCCAGGGTCTTCCACTCCTGCACTGTCCCTCCAAGCCTTCCAAGCACGATGTGCTTCTCCAAGGATGGGTCCCTCCTGGCCATGTGCCCAGGATGTGAAATGGAGCTTCAAAACCCTTGCATCCAAGGAGCAACCTGGTTTCACCCGCTCCAAGATGGACCTGTTTGTTCTCTTGGCAGTCCATGGTCTGTTTAATACTCTTCTCCAGCACCACAATGCAAAGACGTTGATTCTTCTTTTGTCATCCTTAATCATTGTCCAGCTCTCTGAAGCAGAGCAAGTAGTTGTAAAGACTATGGCCTGATCAGACACACCTTGGTCTCTAGACTGATATCATTGCTCTTCAGTTCTCTGGAGATGCCTGTGACAGCAGATTTTCCTAATGCAGTTCATTTTTTATTTTCCTGACTGCTGGTGCCAAGAGTGTTCATTGTGGATCAGAGCAAGCTAAAATTGTTAACAATCTCAATCTCTCTACCATCTGTCATGGTGCTGCCAATTGGCCCAGTGATGAGAATCCTTGTTTTCTTGGTGTTGAGTGTCAGCCCATGTTGAAGACTGTAGACCTTGACCTTCAGCAGCAAATGCTTCAGGTCCTCCTCAGTTTCAGCAAGCAGGATTGTATCATATGCATAATGCAGGGTTTTGATGAGTCTGCCTCCAATCCTGATGCAACATTCCTCCTCATAGAGCCCATCCTTCCTAATACAGCAACAGTTTACGACTGTGGAGAAGAATATGTCATGGTAGTGAGAGACCTAGTTCCAGTGTTGATTCTACATTTTAATAGCAATGACTTTGTAAAAAATTACTTTCCAGATTACTTTCTATGCTTTCTGTCATTTTCTATAAAATGAGAGAAAGAACTGTAGTTAGTAAGATCTCAATAAGTTACAATTGTTATTATCACCTAGGCAACTTTTTGCATTGTTAAAATTAATTTTCCTTCATTGGACCTCTGAAACAATTTAAATATTTAGAGAAAAAGCAAGGCATTCTGGTTTAGTAAGATTGGGGTCTTATAATTAACTAGAATTTGAAAAATAACAAAACCTTGAGAAAATTGCCAAAATATACAACTCTTCATTGAAGGCAAGACTGAAATAGAGTCAGGTATCAAACAATTGTTCTCAAAAACTTTGACAGCAACGTTTACTTACTCTGAAGTTGGAAATTCCAGGTGTCTACAGACATAGCTTTACTCTCATGATAAAGTATTACTACTGACTATAACTTCATTTTATAATAGCATTAAATGCTTTTAATATGTTGTTGTTAATGGTATAAACGTTGAGTCAGAATCGACCCACCTCTGACACTCTGGTGGGTTTTCAGAGGCTGTTAATCACAGAGCAGGAGATTGTCCATCCTCCCTTGGAGCGGCTGGTGGCCTTGAACCATGTGCCTTCGGTATTGCAGCACAGCTTCTGGCCTCTAAGCCTCCAGAGCTCCTTTTTCAAAATAAGGTGTATATATACACAGCCAATTAGTTGTTTTAGCAGCTCTGGTTAACAATCATGACTTAAACTACTGTAATTGATTGTTTCTTCAGATATATTATACCTGAGAAAGAGCAATCAATTATGAGATATCGGGACCCTTGGGACATACACTATAATGTACACCAATATGTATTTTTCATAGTGGCCCAAAAAAAAGTACCACTAGAGAAGAGTATTGAATATTCTATGGACTGCTAAGAAAACAAACAGGTTTGTCCTGGAGAGGGTGAAGCTGGGCAGCTCCTTACAGGCAAGGATTCCGAAGCTTCGTCTGTCATACTTTGGACATGTTGTAAGGAGGGACCAATACTTGGAGAGGGACGTCATGCTTGGGAGGGTGGAAGGACAGCGCAGCAGAGAAAGGCCCTTGATGAGATGGATTGATTCAGTGACTGGGGTGATGAGGATAGGTTTGTCGGAGATAGTGAGATTGGCACAGGATAGGGCAGAGTTTAGTGCTGTTCTACAGAGTCGCTATGAGTCACAGGCGATTCGACAGCACATAGAAACAACAACGAAAACAAGTTGTTTAAACAAAATGACTGCTGCTTCTCCAGGGTTTTCGTTTTAGATTTTTGTCCCAAGTTTTTTTTTTAATTTCTCCTGCTCTCCCTTATGTTATACTTCCTTTCACTTGGTAAACAGATATGTCTGTTGTAGTGGAACCTGGGATGATTTTCATTTGAAAATCTAAAAGAAAAATGCCTGGTTTTTAACCTCATTATACTGACCTTATTTTGTTGTGTATCTACTAGTGGAGGGAAATTTACTGTATTTTCTTAACCGTGGATTTTCTATTTCTTTTAGAGGAAGTCCACAAACAAAGGGAACCCCCCACTTTAAGGAAGAGCAGTGTGCTCCAGCATTAAACTTAGAGATGAAGAAAATACTGGATTTGCAAGCACCTGTCATGAGGTACAGTACTGTTGTTAACCTTGACATTGCTTATAACGTGTAGCTGGTTGATCACAGCCATTAGTGCTGTGTTCGTTGAGGTCAGTGATTGATGTTGACTTGCTCTGTTTGTCCTTCCTGGCTCTAGCTTGTAGTCACCATACGACCATCACAGAATTTGATTTTATTTCTTTTCACTGAAGATCAGAATTTTTTAACCTTAGAAATAATTAACACTTGTGAGGCATTTGAAGTTTTATAGGTGGTACATCATTATCTTTAAATTATTATAATAGTGCTTTTAAATACCAGCTGTGATTTTACTTTAACATTGAAACTTTCTGTATATATGTGAGTGTGTATATACATACAGAAACTTCTATATGTGTGTGAGTGTGTGTATACATACACGGACTTGTGCAGTTGTTTGATTTTGTCATGTTGCTGTGTCTTGTTTGGCTTACGTAGCATTTCTCACCTAATTGTACATTTGGGAAACATTGTGGTCAGTGGCTAGATGGGAGAGGAAATTAAGTCATGGTGTGTACCATGGGTTGGACTGTGTTGCTGGCTCAATTTTGCCCTGGTCCTGTGATTAGAAGCATAGTCCATCCGTCCAGTCCTGTGAGCTCTGCAGATGCATGCAAGTCCTCCTTGACGCTGCCTTCTGCCTCAACTTAGTATTTAGTGAGTCAGCCCTATTGTAGTTACCGTTGTAATTCTGTTTCATTTCACTTTCATTGTTGTTGTTGTTGTGATGGGCCATTGAGTCCCCTGCAACTCATAGAGACCCTCTGTACAACAGCCCTAAACCCTGCTCTATCCCTTGCCAGTCTTATTGTCTCTGACACACCCATCCCCATTATACCAGGGACTGAATGGATCCATCTCATCAAGGGCCTTCCTCTCCTGCACTGTCCCTCCCCCTCTCCCAAGCATGACGTGCCTCTCCAAGGACTGATCCTGCCTTTCAGAATATCCAAAGTATGTCAGATGAAGCTTCAGAATCCTTGCCCCAAGGAGCAGCCTGGTTTAACCCTCTCTAGGACAAACTTGTTTGTTCTCCTAGCAGTCCATGGTATATTCAGTACTCTTCTCCATCACCACAGCTCAAAAGCATCAACTCTCTTTCTGTCATCCCTCGTCATTGTCCAGAGCTCTCTGCATAGCAAGTAATTGCAATAAGAACAAATTATTTCTTTTCTTGACGGAGCAAGGTGGTCTTCATGGTGGGGACCCTCCATCTAGCTTGTTCCTGCCTCTGTCCTAGCCTGTGAAGATTTCTAGCCCCATCTGTGTGGCCCTTTCAGCCCCACCATCCAGCCATACTTATTGATGATCCCAGAATGAGCAAAGGCTTGTAGGCTTACATCAGTTGATATTAGATGCTTCAGGGAGTTGGAAGGAATACACAGGGTTACTTTACTTAAAAAAAAATTGGTCGTGCTCAGCATTTTAGGAGGTAGCATGTGATCAAGAACCAATGATGAAGGAAGGAGTCCAGGCTGCACTGAAGGCATTGACAGAAAACAAGGTTTCAGGAAATAGTTGTATACTAGTAGAGATATTTCAACCAGTAGATGGAGCCTTGGACATACTCTGTTGTCTGTACTAAGAAATTAGAAAACAGCTGCTTGGGCAATTAACTGGAAGAGATCCATGTTGTGCCTGTTCCAAAAAAAGGTGATCAAACAGAATGCAGAAATGATTGAACAATAACAGTAATATCACATGCGAATAAAATCTTGCTGAAGATAATTTAAAAATGACCAGACTAGTCTATCAGCAGGGAGTTGCTGTAAATCCAAGCTGACTTCAGAAGAGACAGTGGAATGAGGAACTGATATCAAATGGTTCTTCACTGAAAGCTGATGATGCCAGGAAGATGTTTGCTTATGTTTAAAGGACTATGCAAGGAACTGGCTGTGTGGATTATACTGATTATGGAACATTTTGAGAAGAGTGAGAATTCCAGAACACTTAATTATGCTCATGTGGAGCCTGTATGTAGACTAAGAAGCTATTGTTTGTACAGAACAAAGGGATACAATATGGTTTAATTTCAGGAATGGTATGCATTAGGGTTGTGTCCTTTTGCCATGCATAAGCAGTCTGTATGCTGACCAACTGGTTTGAGAAGCTAGACTATATGGAAAGAATCCTCAGCACTGGAGGAAGACTTAGTGGCATGCCAAGTATGCAAATGACACAACCTTACTTAAAGAAGATGAAAATAATTTGAAACACTTATGAAGTTCAAAGAATATAGCCTTCAGTATGGGTGAGATCTCAACTTCAGGAAAACAAACTTTCTCATCACTGGAAACATCATGATAGATGAAGAAAAGATTGAGGTTTTCTGCCATTTCATTTTACTTTGATCCATAATCAACATTCATGGCACCATTGTTGTTGTTGTTAAGTGCCATTGAGTTGTAGACGACTCATAGCGACCCTATGAACAGAAGACCTGAACACTTGTGTAACTTTCATCCTTTCTCCAAGTTCATAGGGTTTCCATTAGTCAGGAAATCAAAAGATGTGTTATACTAGGGAAATCTGTGGTCTTGAAGGGATCCCCGTAAAGTGCTAAAGAGCAACGATAATCAGAAGACTAAGATAGGCCTGACACAAGCTGTGACATTTTATTTGCTTCTTAACACGTGTGACAGTTGGACAGGGGATGGAAAAAAAATCAAAGAAGAATTGATACTCTTGAATTGTGGTATTAGTGAAGAGTATTAACTACTATTCCATGGACTACTAAAGGAATAACAAAGTATCTTGGAGGAAGCATAACCAAGGTGCTCCTTAATAGGCCAGGATGGTGAAACTTTGTCTTAGCTATTTTGGGCATGTCGTCAAGAGACATCAGTCCTTGGAAAAAGGCGTCAAGCTAGGGAAAATAGAGGACCAGGAAGACCTTCAGTAAGATAGACATGGTGACCGCGCCCGTAGGCTTGAGCATGGTGGAGACGGTAAGGATAGAGCAGGAGAGGGCGAGGTTTCTAGTTCACTGGCTCACACCCAATGACAGCAACATGGCACTGCCATTTGTTTTTAGAATGAAGATGTTGTCTATATATGAATATGCCTGGTTCTAAAAGGATATGTAGGCTAGGAGAACTGAGTGGCTGGAGCACAGGCTGGAAGCCAAATTTGTGTACTCCCTAAATATGGAGCTGTGTGAATGAAGTATATTAATATATTGAAGAACATGAGCATAATGCTTAGATTTTCTTAAAACCTTTCTGATTCACAATTCTAATAAAGGCTTCTTTCAACATTTTGTTGTTGTTATTAGAATAGTACAAAATGGCACTATACCTCTTTCAATAGAACTGTGCCAGGGGCGGCTGTTATCTTTCAGTCCATCCTTTCTTAACTTACTGTCATTAGAAAAGCTTTCTGTGCCCTGTTGTTATTTGCCTAAGAAAAGCTTTCTGTGCCCTGTTGTTATTTGCCTAAATGTGATCAGTTTGAGTTCAGATCCTTGTCGGAAGGTTACTTGTCACCTCGGATTTCGTTTATCTGTACATGGCGATCCTTTTCAAGGTTGTACTTTAACGCACAAGGAACTTTGGTTGGTTGTGGGACCAAGCCATGGGAACCACATAAGGATGGCTTTCTAGCCCCACCTGGAGGTAGGAACTGAACAGTGCATGGACATAGAGGAGAGAAAAGAGCTTTTAAGTAGAGAAGATCGATCTACTATCTTGGAGAAGTTTAACCTGTTAGCTGCTGTTTGTTAGTCTTCTCTTTTTGGTGGTTGAGAATCTCTAAAGTTCTCTCAAGTCACTAATATTTTTTAAATTGAATTTCAAAAGCAGTTTAATGTTACTACCTCCTATAACTGGTACGTGACCGTGTTTAAAGCCGTGGTGTTTTTGATTGCTTGCTGTACATGTGAAAGTTAGACAGTGAATAAAGACAATTTAAGAATAATTGATGCTTTTTAATCGTAGTTTTGGCAAAGAATATTGAATGTACCATGGAGGGCGAAAGAACAAACAAATCTGGCTTAAGGAAATGAAGCTGGAGTGCCTTAGAAACAAGAATGATTTGCCTTGTGTACTTGGAGCATGTTGGTAGAAGGAGCCTGTCCCTGAAAAATGATATCATGCTTGGAAAAGCAGAGTCAGCTAAAGAAAGAAGGCTCCCAACGAGATCAGTGAACCCAGTGGCTGCAATGCTGGGCGTGGACATAGGAGAGTTTGTGGGGATGGTGCAGGGCCAGGCAGGGTTTCTCTCTGTTGGCATGGAGGATACCTGCCCTGCTTAGTTTTAGCCAACGCAGGAACACCTAAGAGCTGGCTCCTGTAACATGAATTTGCTGGAAAGGGGTTTAGAGTTTCTCTGTTCAGATTTTAGTTGAGTGTGAAGAAATGATTCCTATGGTTTATAACCAACTGTTTTGCTTCCTGTTATCAAAACTAAAAGTCAGAGTTGAGAATAGCAGTTAATATTGTAACTTATAGGAGCAAGAGTAAACATCTCTTCATTTTTTATTAAAGAATGACTATAACTAACATTAAGCATCAAACTTTGTTACTAATCAAGGCCAGAGAGTACCTGTAGTTGTTACCTGTAGAGAGTTACCTGTGCTGTTGAGGAGGAACCAATTCTTCATGGGGATTTTCAGAGGAAGTGAATCACTGGGGAGGAGATCACACAGCTTTTCGCCTCAGAGTAGCCGGTGCACTTGAACCATGTACCATAGGGGTGGCAGCGTTAATTCTTACTAGTGGGCCACCAGAGCTCAGAGTACACGTTACGGGTGAGTTGTAAAAGGAGCGAGAGCTGCATGAGAACCACTGTATCTGACCTCTACTATCTCTACAATATCCCTGTTGACAGCACCCACAACACAAAACCAGTTCTCATGAGGTCAGACATGCCCTCCACGCTCCCGCACCACTTTTTACTCGCCTCAGCACCAATCTTAATGTTCTGCTGGGTCCAGAATGCATTGGAATAGGTCACAGATCACAAATAGCCATATTGGGGAAGTCAGAGGGCTGTAATTCAGGTTAGTAGCAAAATCCAGTCCGTCAGGGACAGCTGCTGGTCTAGTTGGCACAAGAATATTTGGCCCTGGAGATCATGCTGCATTTTCTTGCTGCTGCTTTGCTGGTGGTGGGATTCTCAAAATTTCCTCCTGAATCTGCCCAATTTCATGGTGAAACTAGCCAGTCCCCTGTGGATAGGCTGACACACCGTATTCATGTATTCTCAACCATCCGCTTGGCAAAGTCTATGGCTAGAGAAGCCATTTTGAACAATAAACCTTAACACCACGGAAGTAGTTACCACAGCCCAGAAGTCCAGCCTGGGTCTAGAGAATGAAATGTTCACTCCCTCCTCATCATATGAAACACACACTTTTGTCCCTAAGATATACATTTGAAGTGAAAGAATAAATCATATTTTTAAAGGTGAACGTCTAAAACTCTTGTTTAAATTGGGACTTTTTAATTTATTCCAAATGCAGTGATGATTATTAGGTAGAATTGGGTAAGGGAACATCTTATTCTATTCCTTTCAGTACTTTTATATTTGAGAACAAACATAATAAAGACTTCATTATTCCCTTGGGGAACGACTCATTAAAGCCAGCTGCCCAGAAAATGAAAGAATTTGTTTATAAATTAAAAACATTAAAGAAACTGTCTCAATTATGGATAGGAATATTTTGAAAATACTTTCTTAAATATGAAAGGAAATTTAATATGTAGGTAGATACTATATTCATGAGACTTTTTCAATTTATGCTTTTTTAATATCACTTAATATAGTTGACTAATCTCTTGACTGTGATTGGTGAGGATCTTTGTCTTCTTGGTGTTGAGATGTAATCCATATTGAAGGCTGCTGTAGTTTTTGATCTTCTGTAGTGAGAGTTCCTTTCAAGAAAGGTTGTGTCATAATGCAGGTTGATTGGCGAGTCTTCGTCCAATCCTGATGCCACATTCTTCTTCATAATCTACAGCTTCTAGATTGATTTGCTCAGCATACAGACTGAATAGATATGGAGAAGAAATTCAGCTTTGATGCACACTTTTTTATTTTATATCGAGCAGAATCCCTTGCTTCTTAGTCTATGTGTAGGTTTTGCTTTAATACAAAGAATTGTTGCTGGGATTCCCATTCTTCTCACTGTTAGCCATAGTTTGTTGTGATGCACATAGTTTTATGTCTCTGCATAGTCAATAAAACACAGACATCCTTGTGGTATTCTCTGCTTCCTACCACGATCCATTTGACATTAGGAGTGGAATTTCTGGCAGTTCTCAGTATACTGTTCTAGCCATTTTTTAATAATGGAAGGTTTTCCTTGCATGTGATAGTAATACTATTCAGTAATTTCCACATTCATTTAGGTCACCTTTTGTGAGAATGAGAACAGATATTAATCTCTTCTAGTTATTTGGTCTTTCGGACTTCTTGGCATAGCCTGGTGAGCATGTCCAGGGCTGCATCTGTTGAAACCTGTCAATTGATAGTCCATCAATTTCTGGGTCCAGTAGTGGGGAAGTAAATGTTAACATATCTTTGCAAATGATGTTTATTTCTGAGATTATACTGCTAATTCTTTTTCAACACCTAGATGAGAGGTTTTTTGAAAGGAAGAGCTGTTCACCTCTGATGTTCCACAAGGAGCATGGGACCAGTCACAGAGTATGGACTCAGTGAATGTTTATTGAATGGCTGAAACTCATTGATGCCCTAGAAACACATTGATCTAGAGCTGTGCTGTCTGGTAATAGTAACCACTAGTCTAATATAAATTAATTAAAATGAAATACAGAATTCTGTCCTTAAGTCTCACTAGTTGTATTTCGGTAGCACAGCCACCACATATAGAACATTTGATTACTGCAGAAAGTTCTGTTGATGGTCAGTCCTAGAGCGTTGCTAACCTCTGTGCTCCATGGTTCCAGCCTGTCATCCTGGTTTCAATTCTAGGCTCTTTTTATCGTTTCTCTGCTTCTTTTCTTTCTTGACAGCTTTCATTTATCCTACTTCTAATTTGTATTTCCTATTTCTAATTTTAAGCCTGAGTCATCAAATTTGTAACTAGGGCTGCCTGTTGTCCTTTATTTCTTCACAGAATCTCTGGTTCTAAGTTGAATTATAGATAAAATTAATCTAAAATGATAAATAAATTGTGCAACCCTATTACAGTTTGAGAGGTGGAGGGAGGGATGAGTAAAGGAACTGGGAAAGATCTGGTGTGAAAAACAACATATATGAACCTTGTTAGTAAACCAGTATAAAATAAAAATTTTATTAAAAAGAAACTAAAATTATAAATTCCAGATAAATGGAATTTTTTGGGGGGGCTCTTTTCAGTTTATTGCATGAAAGTGTTACACTAGTCCAAGTTAAAAGTGGACCCCAAATGGTTACATTATACAAGCTGTGAAGTTTTAAGCTTGTGACAAGGGACAGAAGGGAAATTTTCTACTCATTGCAAGGAAATCCTCCCTTCAGTTTCAGTGAGCCACGAACCCTTAAAACCCATGAACCGTCAACTGGTCGTCCTCAGCCAGTCCAGTCTCTACAAGGAACTGGCATATGTTCTTGCGTTGGTCACCCTGCAGCTGAATTACTTCTCCATATTCTGGATGCTCAAGTACAGTGCCATTGCAGGCAAACTTCTTAAACGTCTTTACTGGTTTCTTATCGTAATCATCAGCCATCCCTTGGACAGTTGTAAGGGTCTTCCTGCCGTTTCTCTGTTGAATTCTTATATGGATATAATCCTCAGTCCCAGCAGGAAGCAGGTCATCACCCTTACTTGCATCAGCAAAGGGCTCCTAAGAGTGGAGATTCTGGATAGCGGACATACGATGTCTGCCTGATTATTCACCCTCACTGCTTTCCCACTGTACTCTCTTCAGTTGTGAATTGACTCTAGATTGCTTGTTCCCTGTAGTTTGCAGTCTGTGCTGGAAGACCTCCTGGTTGCTACTTCTGATGGACTTCTGCATCTTATTCATTGGGAAGGCCTGACAAATGGCAGGAAAGCCATTAATCTCTGCACAGTGCCGTTTTCCGTGGACCTGCAGTCATCTAGAGGTCGGTGACGGTCTGTGTAGAGGGGACTGGTGTGTAATAGTTGAGGTAACTGATATTATCATGGAGAATAGTAAGATAATATCCATGGACAGTTATTGACTTTTCTGCTTTAGAATTAATAACACAAAGGAGAGTGGTTTTGTGCCTCTACCTGTTATGTGGAAAGGGGAATTTAACTGTTCTTAGTCCCTAGCTTGTTATTTTTGCCCTTCTAACTCTCCTTACAGGAGTTTCAAGCAAAATGAGAGTGAGTGATTCATGGATTTATTTTCTCACCAGCAGGCTCGTTCCTGGACTTTGCAGACGTGTACATCCGAGACATGGAATACTGTGCCACACTCGATGGGTTTGCTGTTGTGTTCAGTGACGGCAAGGTGGGCTTTATCACACCAGTGTCGAGTAGATTCACCGCAGAGGTATGCCTCCTGTCTTGGGGCGTTTCTTTTATTTTGCATTCATTAGTTTTACTCCTTCCTTATTAAAGCACACCCCTGTTTTCCATATTTATTTAGAGTTTTAAAGGTGATGGTTAAATAATTTTAAATCTAAACTAGTTATCATATGTTGTTGATTGCCTTCAAGTTGAGCATGACTCATAACGACCCTGTGAACAAAAGGCCTGAAAGCCCCTCTACAACTATCAACATTTATCAAAGTTCATAGAATTTCCAGAGGCATGTGCTTTAGGAAGTGGATGCCATTCCTGCTTCCAAACCTGTCATAGTATGTTGTGGTTATTATGTGCCATTGAGTCACCTGCGACATATAGCAACCCTTTGTACAGAACCCCCATCACCCCAGTTACTACATCAATCCATAATTTATAGAGTATAAATAAACAGATAGTTTTAGGAGATATACTGAAGTAAAACAATAGGTCGCGCCCCCTCCCCCCCCCCATCCACCCCAATTATCCATTTTCAGAACCTCTTTCTACTCCTTCACTAGTTATTTTGTTCTTTATGTGTACTGGTTACTTGGGTAGGACCAAACTGCTCCTTTCATTTACAGCAGCTTCATGGAGTTTGGCCGCAAGACGTCATTGATGGAACTTGCGTGGCAGTAAATAACAAGTATCGACTAATGGCATTTGGTTGTGCAAGGTAATTGCTAAAGATTTTTTTTTTTTTTATTTTCTAAGCGTTATTGCCAAAAGTGATGTTATTTTAAAAGCACAAGATGTATTTCATATGCTTGTAAACTTTATCATGCCTGTTACAGTTTATAAAAAATTTAATAATGCCCATTATAGCTTCCTGAAAAAAAAACAAGTTTTTTTCAAAATGAAGCAAATACTAACAGCAAATTTTGGAGACCACAAAGAACAAATTTTGGAGATAGAACAATTTTATTGAAAAGATTTTTCTGCAGAGTTAGAAAATTGAGCAAGTTAAATTTGTCAGTGAAGAAAGAGTAAATGACTTAAAGTTTTAGGTCCTTTATTGTTTAGAAGAGGATGTAGAGGGACTCAGGTGCCGTTTGCCTGATATGAATAACTTGACCCCTTGCCTTCCTTTCAAAAATGAGAAGATGTGGAGAGTAGAAAGGCAGGACTAGCCAGCGACGTGTAACATCAGGCGAGACTCCACTCTGGGGACGGCGTGGGATGCTCTTTCCACATACAGCCACCTCCAGATGGGTCTCTCTCCTGGAGTCTCCTCTAGATAGATCTGTTTTTCTAATGTGCTCAGTTTTTCTTTTTAAAAGCAGAATCTTTTGTCCTTAAGACCTCTAGATTTTTGGGTATGTCTTCATTAACAAAGTTTAAAGCTCACCTATAAAACAAATGTTTTAGATTCATACTATGTATACACACGTGTGTGTGTGTGTGTGTGTGTGTGTGTGTGCGCGCGCGCACGCACGCGCTGATAAATATAAAATATCACACATTAGAACTTGGGTTTGGTCACATTAAAACCCGTGTTCACAAGTGCATCTGGCCTGTAATGTTCTCTTTTTTTTTTCTTAATCTCCCTGTTGGATGCCTAGGCTGTTTCCTGTTCAGCAGTTTTCCCTCTTTTTATATTTTCTCTTTATCTTTGAGCATGTGATTGAAACCAACTGGGCATTGCGTTGTCTTTGTGGGTATGTTTTAGACTATTAATTCCTTTTTTTAAAGTAGATGTAAGAGGATTTATATTTTCTATCTTTAAATCAGTTATCCATATACTTTTTAAACTATATTGGCAGAAAGTATGTAAATATCCTTCTTAACTATTGTGAAATAGAAGCATTCACAAATATGTATAATCCAGATAGTCACAGTTTTAGAAACATTTCTAATTCCCATCTGTTCATAACTGAGTCAGGCGTTGCCAGCCTCCGAGAAGTTGGACCCTTGTCCCCTTCTCTTCACAGATCCTACTCTCCCTTCTCATCCTCCAGCATTCCCTTAAAGGAAGCCGAGGACTGCCTTTTGTGTAATCAGTCACTTCTTTTTTCTCTGTAGTTTTACTGTCCATGTTTGCCTTCCTGAAGAATATAAGTACAGTTGAGTTTTACCTGATTTTGAACCTAGTATGTATAGGCACTCTTTTAAAAAGATTCTGCTGTGTTGTTTACTAGTAGCTGTCTAATGTATTCATCTGTTTGGACTAAGTTTTAAATCGTGCGCCAGTGTACAAACATACTATCCTTTATCCACTTTGTTGTTGACAGGTGTTTGGGTTTTGGCCTAGTAGAATAAATGATACTAGTTACAGTTGTGTGAGTGCACGTGTGTGTGTGTAATCAGAGTGTCTCTAAGATGTACTTAAGTCACTTGTTACTGGGTCTTCGGGAATGTGTATGTTTATACTTATGTACATAAATGTCAATCTGTTTTCCACTCTTATTCTCCTGCCTTCTTTGAGGCTATGAAAACAGCAAATCAGGTTTACCATGTTCAGCATCTGCTGTCAGAGCACAAGGAGACTTAATGCTGGGCTCACCTCTGCTGGCTCTTGCCTCACTGAGACCCTGTGCTAATACCTATCTTACCAGCTCCTTGATCCTTATATGAAAACGTCGTTAACCTTCATCTACTTTTTAAAATTTTATTTTCTATTTCAGCCGATAGAAAAGCTGAAAGTTTAGTGAAACTAATACACCATTTATAACCTACATCCAGATATATTTTCCCATGGATGCTTTATCTGTCTACATTTATATGTACACACACGCATGAGTATGTAGTCCTGAGGTATTTGTTGTAAGCCTGCAGGCATTCATTATCTTGGTTTCTGAGCATCAGGAGCAGCTAGGTCATCTGGTGAGCTCTGGCTCAAAGTCTTTTATGAGTCAAGCGTTCAGTGGGGCCACAGTTCGCTCTCAGCTTGGCTGGGACCACGAGCTCCCTTGCCGCCCAGCCGGGAGGCTGTTGGGCATGGCTGTGTTCTCTAACACGGTACTGGCTTCACTGGAGCAAGAGGAGCAAGTGAGGGAGCGTGCAGGGTGGAAAGTGCCTTTCTGCCGTACATGGTTGGTCACAGACAGCAGCCCAAGTACAGCCTGCGAGGCTGAAATTGCTGAATCGGCTTTTGTTCACATATATAACTTCAAGGTTTTTTACAGAATGGTTTTATTTCCGTTAACAACCCTCTCAACCAAGCATGATGCTCCCTTGTCATGCTGTTTTATATTTGTCTTTGTCTTTTTCATTAAATCCATTTTCTTCAACTTTGTCTTCACAGTGGTTCTGTGCAAGTTTACACGATAGACAACACCACTGGCGCCATGCAGCTGTCTCATAAACTGGAGCTGACAGCAAAGCAGTACCCTGGTGAGGCCTTTTCTTGGTAACTTTCTTATGTAGCAAATGATGGATTAAGTCAGATGATGCCTGATGAGGTATTGTCAGAACCTGCTGACGCGTTCTCTGTGCCTTTTCTGTGAGCAAGAAGGAGAGGCCCCTGTCACATGCCTCGGAGCCCTCCCTCTGTCTTCTCCGTGCTCAGTGTAGCTCTCGAAGTGTTACCTCCTGCATTCCTTGTCCATGTTTTCCTGTCAACTCTTATCCCATTCAGTTTTCATTTATTCATTCTACGAACCCTATGGAGTCCCCACTGTAGCTCTGTACTGTGGTAAAGGCTGACTCCACAGCAGTGACAGGACCATGTGGCTTTCTGACCCATCAGTGAGTCCCTCTGTCCACAAGTCCCATGTGTTACTGCCCAGTGTCCACAGCGCTCACTGTGTTACCAGAAATCCTTTTTCTAAAAGTAGCAGGAAGTCCAACTTCTTAGGGCTTTAACAAATAGCATTTGTTTTTAAAATAGCAAGAGATCCAAAGTTAGCTTTCACTTATGTTCATCTGTTCTGTTCTTCATGGTCTGTTACTGCTGCATCTGCATCAAGGAGGAAGGAGGAACTTCTGTTTTTTATCACAGAAGCAGAATGATTTTCCAGAAGCACTCCCACCTGTCTGCTGTTGTCGACTTAACATCTAAGCCATAGCTGGTCTCATGGGGTTCTTAGATTTGAGGAAAGTATGGGAAGTAATCACTTTTCCCAGCCTTCAAGGCAGAGATGGGCAAGGAAGAGAGCATGGGAAATGATGTTGGATTAACTGAGCAGTGTCTACTAATGTGGCACACAAGGCATTCTGCCACTTTCCACTGGCTTCGTTTCCGGCTTCTTTGCATCCCTGGTGTCTAACGCCTTCACATTCTGCTTCATGCAGAGGAAACATGCTAAGTCCTGTTTATTCAGGGGTGAGGGCCAAGCAGCAGGCACACAGGCATCGTCCCAGCCTCTGTTGGTGTGTTTCTTCCTGCTGCCTTCACTCACCCACTAATCAGTCCACCTTTCACTTTCTCTTCTCCTTTGTCTTCTGGGAACTTTCTTTTCTTATCTGGAAGTTCAGCTCTGACACCAAGTCTGTGAATTACATTTAACTTCTTTTTCTCTTTGTGAAAATCATCAGATTGTTCATTTTTACAAGGTAAATTCTTCCATAATCTTGACCCTTGAAAATAACCACAATTAACATTTTAGTGCATACCCTTTGGAGTAGATGTAAGTAGGTTTTTATCAGCTTTCTACCTAGATGCTCCAGGTGTGTCGGTGTGCAGCTGCTTCTGTGTGATCTTGGGAGCACAGTCTCACGTCTGCAGAGGCAGCAGCGCCTTGCCGACAGTTAACCACACAGCCAAGCCTCATTTTGTTGTGTTTTCACCCCTTAGTTGCTCTAATTGTGTAAACTTCAATTTGATTTTAAAGATTTCTTTTTAGTTTGGTCTTAAATCCCTTTCGTGGAAAAATGTGAAATGTGCCAATAAGATATGATATTTCTTCTGTATATACATACCATTTCTCTCTTATGTACATAATGATCATGGATTGTTGCTGTTAGGGGTTGTTGAGTTGAGTATGACTCATAGCGACCTATGACCAAAGAGCTGAACCCTGTTCTTTCCTGGGCCACCCTCATACTTCCTAACATGCAAGAGCCCACTGCGACAGTTTCCACGTCAGTCCACCTGGGTGAGGGTCTTCTCTCCTTCGCCAACCCTCCACCCTTCCTAGCATCATGTCCTTCTCTGAGGGCTAGCCCCTCCTAGTAACATGCTCAAAGTATGAGGCAGAGCATCATTCTTGCATCAAAAGAGCACTCCCGGGGAGCTCTGGTGGCCTAGTGGCAAGGAGCTGCAACTACAATCCCAGAGGCACACAGTTCGAATCCACCAGATGCTCTGCCAGGGAAGGAGGGACAATCTCCTCCTGTACCAGTCAGATCTGATTTGATGGTACACTCACACAAAAATAATAATAAAAAGAAAAGAGCACTCCCGCTGCACCCTCTCCAAGACATATCTGTTTGTTCAATGCTCTTCTCCAAGACCACAGCTCAGATGCATCAGTTCTTCTGTCATCCTTATCCACTGTCCAGCTCTCAGATGCATATAAGTGATCGGAAAGACCAGGGCCTGAATCAGACACACCTTAGTCCTCAAACTGACATCATTACTCCTCAATAATTTTAAGAGGTCTAACTGCAAATTTTCCCAGTGTAGCATATCTCCTTATTTCCTGACTGTTGGTTTAAAATGATAACGTGAGGATTGAAACTTAGGCAAAGGGGTGGGGTGGGGGATTGTATTCTATTTACCAAGCTAAAATGTGTGTATCTCCCCTTTGTAATAAATGTACTTATTTCAAAATTTTATTGTTGTGTGCCATCAAATTGGAACTGACTCATAGCTCCAAAGATCCAGTGGGTTTTTAGAACCCACATTTTTTTTTCAACTTATGTATTCAACGGAGTTTTGAAAACTCATGAATCCGAAGAGCCAATGACTTTCCAGAGGAAATAAATTGCATGGGAGGAGATTGCCTATCCTTCTCCTGCAGAGCGGCTGGTGGATTGGAATCACTTGCCTTAGGGATTGCAGCACAGCGTCTTCCCACTGGGCCACCATAGCAGCTATAAATGGAAGAATTCTAGTTTTAAACAAAGTGATACTATAGATATTTTTGGATTTCAGGTGGGAGATACTGGCATGTTTATCTCTGCATTAACGAAACTTGGATTGTAATACTGTACAATGACATTTCCTCCTTTAGTAATTAATTGTATTTGGAGTTAAAAAAGAAAAAAAACCATTGTTAGATAAAAGAAGATGTGAGTGAATACCTGGCATTCTCACATTGGAGTGTACTGGTGCCTCATGTGTAAAGTTAAAAGGCAGTTTATTTGAACTTAAATCTCTTTGATTTTGCCAGTGTAGCATACATTTGCGTTTTTACATACGCTTTATATTTCAAAGGACCTTATAGTGCAAAGTACCTTCATATTCAGTATTGACTCATTCAGGATGGATTTTATGTATAAGACCTGTCCTGCCCAAAGCCAAATACCTTGGATCATGCTCAGTGCTAGCTATGCAGTCTAAAAGTAGTCAGAAATGGAAGTAGCTAGAAATGGTTTTCCTTTCTTATCAACCACTTGAGTGTTAAATTTGTCCTTAGATCTCATGAAGGCATTACTGAGTTTTCCCCATGTTTATTTTATTTACGTGAAAGCTTATAAATCAATAGTTTTCATTCATTCATTCATAAATATTTTATAACATTAATTAAAATTAATATAGTTCATTAATTACTTGGTCTAGTCAGATTTCTTGTTATATATTGCCTTTCCTCTCACCCACCTTACCTATTTATTAATTTTTACTAATTTTTAATTGCCCAGAGTGAGCAGGCTTCATCTTATTATTTAAAATCTTGCCTTTTTGCTTCTGTGGAAGAAAAGATAGAAACTCTAAAGAATGCTAAGTATTTCTGAAACAGTCATTTATTTTCACCTCCTTTCATGATATCTTCCAGATGTTTGGAACAAAACTGGAGCTGTTAAATTGATCCGATGGTCTCCTGACAACAGTGTCGTTATGGTGACCTGGGAGCATGGAGGCCTTTCTCTGTGGAGTGTCTTTGGAGCTCAGCTGGTTTGCACACTTGGAGGAGACTTTGCGTGAGTGAAGTACAATTTTTAGATAAAATTGTATCGCCCCCTCCCCTAGACAAGAAACATACCACCCATTCTTTTTGTCACCTTTTAGCTTTATTTGACTTTTATCCCAAAACAATTTGTAAAATTCAGAATTCATTTGCTCTGACTGTATTAATTTTCCAAACATCCATCCTCTTAAAACTGTTAACTCGTTAGATTTGTTGATGAAGACACTGTGTGTGTTAATAGCATGATCAAGTCAAAGCTGATTCAGATTTGATGTTCTTGCTCTGATAAGAGAGGTAAACCACGTACAGAAGAAGTATTCCACTATTCGGAAGTGGAAAGCTTCAGTATCTGAGTATCTCATTAGTGGCTGGATATCTCTGCTCACGTTGTGTGTTACCCTGACCTCAATCTGACGGGAGCACACACTGCTTCCGAGCTGTGTGAGCAGCTGGGAATTCAGTTCGGCCCTAGGAGGACGTCGAGTAGACTGGGAAGCAGCTAGTAGTATTTCTGTTTTAAAAGCACAAAATCAATTTGATTTTTAGAAATTAAAGCCAGATATGAAATGTGTTATGCCTAGTGAAAGAAGCCCTGGTGGTGCAGTAGTTAAGCTCTAGGCTGCTAACCAAAAGGTCAGTGGTTTGAAGCTACCCACTGCTCCATGGGAGAAAGCTGCATCGGTCTGCTTCCTGGATGATTTACAGCCTTGGGAATCCTGCGAGGCAGCTCTGCTCTCCCTCTGGGGTCGCCGTGTGCTGTAATCAGCTCAGTGACAGTGGGCTAGGGTTTGGGACTGTGTAATTAGAAGGCTCTTTTAAATTGTGTCTCTGTTTCAGTTATAGGTCTGATGGTACCAAAAAAGAGCCCCTTAAGATCAATTCTATGGTAAGCACTTTGAATAGAAAAAATATGAGAAACTTGATATTTTTCCTCCCTTCTTCCCTTTTTCTCCTCTTGGTCTGATAAAGCCACCACACCATTTTAGTTTCTTAATATAAGAGAGGTAGACCCTTCCTTGTCCAATTCTTACTTTGATAAGAAATATTTCTAGAACTTTGGGAAGCTGCCCACTTGTTAGTATTGCTTTAATCTGTCCCACAAGCCACTATCACTTTTGTTAAGATGAAGCCTCCTCTGTTTCCCTCCCTCCCTGCCAGTGCCACCCAGCACCGATCTCCACACCTCTGTCACTGTCTTGTGACTTCTCCTCGGAGGTGTCGAGAGGACACACTGTTAAAGTTTCATAACTCTCCATAGACATAGGCCAAGAAACCTTTGACAGTCACTTCTGTATCAAAACTTTAAAAAATCATTTATTTTTCAGTTTCTGCAGAAAAGAGTGTGGTCATTAATCCCAGTCTTTACATTTAAAAATGTTTTCTCCAGCTAGCCCTCTGAGCACAGTCCTGAAAGCCTGGCCGCTCTGAGCCTCATCTCGGCTTTTCACAGGGCGGGAGGCATTTGTAGGACTTTTGATTTCCCTGGGATTCCAGTTGCTCTGAGTAGTATTTCCCGTTTTATCCCCACCGTGGACCCCTTCTATGTCTCTCTGTGGTCTCATGTTTGAAAATGGATTTTCTGCAACACAGCATTTATGTAACTGCAAATAGTGATTCTCAGTGTCATGCACTAACTGGTATTAGCAGCTTTGCTAACTTACTATTTCAGTCACAGACTTAAAACTCTAATCATTTATGTTAGCTTTTGCAACTTTATCATAAGGAAACCTAAACTTCTGGTGGTGGTGGTGGTGGTTGTTAAGTGTCATCATGTTGTCGATGACTCCTAGCAACCCTGTGAACGAGAGACCTGAACACTTGTATAACTTTCATTATTACTCTAAGTTCATAGTTTCCGGAGACAAGCT